GGCGCATACTCTTACAGCTCTTGGCTCATCTTCTAAAATCTTAATTTTTAGTTTGTGTTTTGTTCATTATTCAAAATGTTAAAACTCCTTGCTTGGAATATTTGTGGTGCCAATAATTTGAAATCACAAAATTATCTAAAATATTTATGCAAAAAACAAAACCTAGATCTATCTTTACCTCAGAAACAAAAATGTCTCAAGATAGAGCCCAAAACTACTTTGTAAGATCGAATATAGCGAGTTTGAAGTTCTAGGTGCTTAGGGTTTGTTAGGTGGCTTAATATGTGGATGGAGATCAGGGTTGGAAGTGGCAATCATCAGTACTTCACAATGTCTATTCCATCTTCAAATTAATAATTTTTCTCCTGGACTAAAGTGACAACTGTTATTAGTAGGGATGGCAATTTCGCGGGAATTTTCGGGTATCCGACCCATCTCGACCCTAATATGACCCGTTTATCAAAACCCTATAGGGTTTGGGACGGGTTTGAGATTTTAGATAAAATCCTATAGGGTTTGGGTTTTGACCTTAGGGTATCCGATACTCGATACCCAGGATGCTATAATATGAACCTGTTATATTATATATCATGCATAAATTTATAAATTTTAAGTACTAAGATAATTATTCTATTATTAATATTTGATTTGTATAAATTTCTTGGGATTAAATCATCATTTGGTGTAGATTTGGATTTGATAGATTGTTTATTTCATTTAGTTATATAATGCTAATTTTAAATATTATTTCTTTTAATTTTTAATTGGAATTGTTAATCATATACATGTATTGATTGTTTTGATGAACACAAAAGTTAATTAAATCTATTTTATTTCAGTAAAAAATATAAAAAGCAAGATGGCTTAGTGGCTTAAAGTAGTGTTAAGAGATTTGACACTATCGCTAATTAATCCAAGTTCAAGTCACATTATAACCATTAAGAATTTTTTATAGTAGAAAACGTTTGGTCCAGGGGTTTAACGGGTGGGACGGGTTGGACGGGTTTAACAGGTTTGGGTTAGGATGGATTTGGGAAATTGAAAGGAAAAGTTAGATGGATTTGAGACTGGTTTGGAATCAGGGATACATAGGCGGGTTTGAGAATGGGTAGGGCAATTTGCACGGGTACCCTGTTGCCATTCCTAGTTATTAGTTTATGGGCATCCTTAGAGAGCTAGTAGGAGTGAGCTGTGGCAAACCATTCAAAGTATACCACATCTATTTGGCTATCCATGGTTATTGATGGGTGATACTAATGACATGGCTCGATCTCTTTCCTAATGCTTGGGTTCAACATCTACTTGTGCTTCAATCAGATCATAACCCAATTCTACTTCATTTGGATCAAACAAATCGTAAAAGGAAATCCCAATTTCATTTTTTACCTATCTGGTCAGAAGAGAAGGAATGTAAGGAAATAATAAGAGAGGTATGGGAACAAAAAGTGCAAGGTACTCCAGCTTTCACGCTAACCACCAAGCTTCATAAGTGTAAAAAGGTACTTGTAGGGTGGAACAAAGGCAAATTTGGTGACACGACGGACAAATTGAAAGAACTGGAAATGAAAATTTTAGATTTACAAGCCAAACAAGATGATCCCACTGTGATGGAGGAATTGCAAAATTGCAAGAAGCAGTTTGATTGTTGGTTGGCCTGCGATGAACAAGTGTGGAGACTAAAATCTAGGGAATTATAGCCAAGGGAGGGTGATAGTAACACTAAATATTTTCATCATATGACAAAATTTAAGAGGAGATTTAATACTCTAAGTAGGGTAAAGGATGCCAACGGTAATTGGACCACAAACTCTCAAGAAATAAAGAGAATCTTTCAGAAGTATATACTAAGTGTTGAAGATGTTGAAGAGAAGTTGGAAGTTGGCCTTTTAGAACATCTTAATTTGCCTAAATTAAGTGAGGCACAAAAGCAGACTTTACTCACTCCACCAAGAGAGCAAGAAATTAAAGAAATTGTGTTTATAAATCCACATAAATCTTCAGCCCCAGATGGTTTCACAACATTTTTTTTATCAAAGATATTGGGATCAGATTGGACAAGATGTTTTCTCCATGGTGGTTAATTTCTTTGAATCAGTCTTTGTTAAAACAAGTGAATTGCACTAACATTATTTTCATTTCGAAGGACAAAATTTCTGAAGGCCCACATCCGTATCGGCCCATCAGTCTTTGCAATGTTTGCAATAAAATTATTGCCAAATGGTTGGTGATGAGACTACAACCACTAATTCCAGACATGGTCTCTCCTAATCAAGCAGGATTTGTTAAAGGAAGGCAAACATTAGATAATGTGGTACTTGCCCAAGAGGTAGTTCATCAACTCAAACATGAAAAGAAGGGTTATATAGCACTCAAATTGGATATGTCTAAAGCTTATGACCATATGGGATGGCAATTTATCAATGAGGTGCTATGTAGAATGGATTTTCCTTAGAAAGGGATAAAGTTAATCAATCAATGCATAAATTCTCCTTCGTTTGTAGTTAAAATAAATGGGGAGGCAGGAGATCAGTTTAATTTGGCGAGGGGACTAAGACAAGGGGACCCCTTGTGACCTTATTTGTTTATTCTCGGCATGGAGGTATTCTCTCAAATGCTTTATAAAGCAGAAGCAAACAATGAAATTCAAGGGGTAACTTTTGGATGATTGTATCCTTTTTTGTAAGGCGGATTTAGGAATGCTAAGAAATCTCAAGCAAATTATAAGTAATTTCGAGAAAGTTTCTGGTCAACTCATAAATCACTCCAAATCTGGGCTCATGTTTAGTAATAATTTACATCCAAGACACCAAAAGATGATTTTCAAAGTTATTGAAGATTGTTAAGATGCATCCTAGATCAAAGTATTTAGGCATCCTGCTTTGTATGGATAGGAGATTGAAAGCAGATTATAAGGAGATCATCCAAAAAGTCTAAGATAGACTAACATGCTGGAAAGCAAAACTTCTCTCTCAAGCAGTCAGGAATACTCTAGTTCAAGCTGTACAACAAGCCATACCGTCCTATACAATGGGGGTAGCCATCATGCCATCAGTAGTTACTAAAGAAATTGATGTTATAAATAGAAACTTTTGGTGGAAACATGATCATCAAAGAAGAATAGCATGGGATAAATTGTGTAGACCTAAACAAGTTGGGGTTTAGTGTTATGGTCCCGCGCGTGCTGCCGTGCGGTGCCGGGCGTGTGCGCGGTGCGTGCTGCCATGCGGTGCATGCGGTGCGTGCTGTTGCCTGGCGGTGTGTGCTGTGCGCTTCAACGGTACGTGCTGCTGTGCGGCACTGCCAGGTGGTGCCTGCTGTTGTGCGGGTTGCTGTGCGTGTTGCTACCTATGACTGTGCGCACAATGCACTGCCGGATGGTGTGACCATAACATTTAGGTTTGAAGAGAAATAAAGATTTTAATTTTGTTTTATTTAACAAACAAGTGTGGCATGTAATGAGCCATCCAGAAGCATTTTGGGCTGAATATATCAAGAAGAAATATTACCCAAACAACAGCATCAACTCAGTAGCCTTAAAAGCAAATCAATCACATGCGTTTTTTTGCAAGGAGACAAAGGAGTCAAGCACTCACTTATTTTTCAAGTGTCCATTTACTAGAGTAATATGGCTCCTGGCACAAATAGGCATCTATCCCGAGAGCATAACACAAGGCCCATTCATCCATACGGTTGAACAATGGATGAAAACTAAAATTGATAAGCTGCCAAAAGAAACTCAACTCCATTATTGGACCACTCTCATGATAATATTTAGATATTAATCTGGGAAGCTAGGAATGGCATCATATACCGCGGTGCTAAGCCTAATCCTCAGAAGATTCTATCTCAAATTTCTCATTTTTATATAAACAACTCAAGTTGCAATCCTCTACATCTAGCACAAATTCCGTGCACAGATGGGGCATCATCAACTGATCAGTTCTTGATCTTTGTGGTTGGCTCATTTATGCCACTTAGTTGCAAAGCAGGTGTTGGATACACAATCTTAACTCATGGCTTTCAAACAATTGCAGCAGAAGGCAGGAAATGTTATGCAGTTGGAGCTGAAGATGCAGAGCTGTGGGGACTCATACAAGTTCTACATCATGCTAGAAGGCTGTTTGTGTCAAAGGTGTTTGTATTCTCAGATGCAGAAGCCCTAATCAAAAGAATCAAGGATCGTACATTGGATAATCCTTGGCATTTCCAAATGCGGATGGATCAATCATGGGAGCTATGGGACTCTTTTCCAGCTGTAAATATTTAGCAAATAAAAAGGGACCTAAATATTCTAGCTCATAATTTAACTTACTTTGCTTGTAAAAATCAGAAAGACATAGCATATGGTCATCACAGCTATGCACATATTGAACCTATAAATGAATGAATCTCCTTTGTTTTGATTAAAAAACAGATGATTTTTTTTTTGGTAATTTGGAGAACTCTAACAGATGAATTATTCATTGCAAAGCCAAAGTTCAAGGAAGTCTTTGTCGCAAATGAAAGTTAAAAGGGGTAATTGTTCAGATGGAAAAATGCTTATAAATGGGAAACACTTAGGCTGCATTTGGAGATGTAAATGAGTGTAAATCTCAGTTCAGGGTAAATTTGCACTTTGGTTCACTTTTGCATGTATTTGGCAACATTACATTTATGCATTGACAAATGATAGACTAATGCATATTTACATTAATAATAAGATGTAAAAAGTACATCAATAAAAAAGAAATAAATTTGCATTCAAATGCCCTTTGGATAAAAAAATATATGCTTTAGTGCTTTATTGAAATTCATATTTGCATCCATTACAGCTAAAAGCCTATTTGATAAGAAGATAAATTTGTAAATGCAAAATTAACCGAACTTTATAATTTATATGAACTGTTTTATACTCTACATATTTGCAACCATACTCATTTGCATTGTTTCCAAACGCAGCCTTACGGAACCGAACGCTATGATAGCRAACACCCTCGTATTGAAGATCATTGGATCGGTTTCAGATGGGATCAGAGCAATATTCGGTGGGGTAGATATATTCAACAAGATCCTAATCCGACATCAAAGAGTCGCTTCTAATCAAAATCCTTACGGAAACACAGTACAGCACACCACAACGAAATACGAAAACATTAGTAACGAGAAGAGAGACTTCCTGGCCATCTCGTAGTCCTCTGCAAATTCTTGATTCTGTATCTGAAGATTCTGAACAGAGACGAATTCGAAACTATCGTAGAGCTACCTGGAGGCTGGAGCTCTCGTCGTCCTGCAATGGACCTCCGCGTGCTGATTTTGCTGTCCTTTCTCTGCGTGCAGATTAGGGTTTGTACTCAATTCCCTTCTTGAGCTAAAAAAATTGCTTATTTTTTATGGAAATCTCTGCTAATTCATCTACTTGAGTATTGTTTTTTCTTTCTATTGGATTATTCGAAATATCCACGAAATTGATATTAGATCTGCGACTTATCTTGTTTGTCTCTATTGGATTTCGATCTAGGCCGAGAGCAGGACTGGTTCGATCTTATTCCTCGATAGCCCTAGTCATCGGTTTATTCTTTCTCGTTCTTCAGATGTTGCCGTTGAGGTAATTTATTTATTTGTTTTGTAGTTTTTTTTTTTTTTGCTTTGCTTTGCTGCTGGGATATTCGGGATGAACAAATTCTCGGTTTTGAATTTTTATTAAAAAATAATATGATTGTGAGGGAGGGATGGTGGGATGCTTAATTTCTAAACCTTGATGAAGACCAGACATCATTATTAATAATCGACAATAGAATTATATTGTGCATCTCTGCATTTTATACTGCAAACTACCTTTTGTAATTGATTGATAATCCATTCTTTTGTCATAGAGTGATTCGATGGTGCTCTCTGATGTTGCTGCTGCCGTGTCAGTATTGCTCGGTTTTGCACCACCACCTTCTCTTTCAGCAGATAGTTCATCCAAGGTCAGATGAGTTATCACTAATTCGAGGTATATTTAGTTAGGTATTATCATATTGATATTACAAACTTGTGATGCTTACTAATGCTTTCTGTATTTGCAGTTGAATGAGGTTCTTCTGCCCAATCCATTTGATAGGCCTCGTGCTGTTCTAATGCTGGAAATCAAAGGAATAGAAGGTTGCTGAATTTGATCCATTAACTTCCACCAGATCTACCTGCCTTAAGTTGTCAGGATTTTGTGAACCATTCACTAAAGTGTTTCATTGTTTGCAGATTCACAGCAATTGGTTGATTACCTGGATAATGCCCAAATTGGCAGTGTCTTTAGGAGCAAGGTTCTTATTGATTCAAGTAATGCTGATATCCAACTTCCAGGTACTCCAACATTTAAGGATTTCTTCTTGACTGGCTGATTTATGTAATTTGGCTACATAAAAGGCCATTAGCCAGTGTTGGTCCCAGCTATCTGGGGTCTTAGGAGAGATAGTTTGAATGCTGACCTAACCTTTGTCAGTGATTTGGCTACATGCTATTATGCTACGCCAAGCATTTTCTTGCTAAAATGTGAAGGATTTGTCGAGATTTTTTTTAAATAATTCTTATGTTTTTTTTCCTGCAGATGAAAATGATGTTTCTGTAGTCTCACTGGATGAACCCTTGGGTTTTGACTGTGATGCAGCTTGCACTGACAAAGAACTCCATGATCTTGTTAGTCATATATCCTACCATTTCCTTTTCATGTTAACGACTTGACATTGATAACTTCTTAGCATCTTTTTATCATGTTCATATGTTTGATCATGGATGTATTTGTTGTTTATTAGGCATCATGGATGGGTGGATCATATCTTAGTGATGCCTTTGAGACATCGAATGGGGAACTGTCTGTTCCATTGACCACTGTATCCTCTTTGAAACTTCATATGTCAAAGGTCTTCCTTAGGCCCTGCATCCTTGTCCTCTATTAATACGTACTTAATTTTTTACTGGAAAACACAAGGCTATTCAGCCAAAACCTATTATCTTATATGTGGAGGTTTAATTAGTGGTTTGCATCTATTCTTCAGAATGCAGATAGGGAATTTATCATGAGCCTTCTTTCTCTGATCCATAATGTTAGATGGGCAATGGAGATGCATGAAGATTTTTCTGGAAGTACGCATAGTCCAGCGGAATTAATGACAGGTTGTTTCACTGGCATTAAGGTGATGACTGATGAATTCTTTTCTCTTCCATATCTATACCGGTAGAAAAGAAAATACCTATCACTGTAACTGTAAGTCTACAACCTTGCATTTACGTGTATTTGGTAAATATTTGAAAATTTTCAGAGCTCCCTTAACACTTGCCTTCCAGTCCTATATAAGCCTCTGTTGGAAGTTTTTGTTCCTTACTGGTTGAAAATTTACAAATTACAACTACTCTGGCAGAACCCTACCTTTTCTCCTAAAAAGGTGTAGGCATTTTGGGCTGGGCCTACATCAAGGTGTCTATCATTGCAAATGGATTGGCTGATGTCCTAGCAAAGCAAGGAGTTTATAGGGAACAGTTGTTTTGGGCAAAATTGTAATATGAGTTACAAATGAACGGGTTGTCGGATTGTTCTCCAGCATCAAATGTAATGTTTTAATTTGCCCAAAAAAATTTCTCAATTTATGAAAGTAAATTCTGTTGCTGATAAAAAGAGGTGTCTATCATTGCAATACAACTACATTGAACTTAATGAAGCTTTCTTGAAATTATTTCAAATTAGTTAGTATCAAGTAACTGAGTATCAATACATGTGCTAATTTTAAGATGAGCATCATGTATCCACTTGGATACAATAAATCAATATTGGCATGGATATGCATATAAATCTCATAGAAACATAAACGGTACTAGTTCTAACGCTCAAAGGTCTTCAAATAAGGTGTGACCATGCGATGTAGGACAAGCTCAATTCTAGTCCTTAGAGAATGTTGAATGGTCTTCTTTGATCAGAAATTTGTGGTTGTTGATGGCTGTAATGGCTTCTTGAAGGAACAAGAAAGAAAATAGGAATAGAAAGAAGATAGAAAATACCTGGAATCACTAACGGGGTGCCTAGAATCACTTTAGGGTATGGGAATCACTCACCATAATTAGCATAAGCTGAAGAAAACTCTAATGAACTTCATTGATCTTTGTGTACAACGTCCATACATATTTATAGACTCTAAACTCATAATAATCCTAGGAGTCAAACTGATAGACTCATAATAGTCATAGGAGTCAAACTGTTAGACTCAATAATTCTAGTAGGACTCAAACTAGGCTGTCATATCCTATTTCAATTCAAAGAAGACTCAATAACTCTAGTCCTACTTATGCAATGACTATGAAATCTTAAACATAAACAAACTATAAAAGTATAAATAGACAATCAAACCCTTTTATTGGACCCTACAGAAAAGTTGTAAAAAAAAAACCCTTGGTGTCCAATTCAGTCCAAATTCCAAGTACCACCACTATGCCATTATCAGGACCTGTTGTAAGGTCTTCTTCTTTATAGAATAAGTCTTCAAGGATGCTGATCGATTTCTATCACCGTGAGATGTAGGAAACAACTAATTTACCATTTTATCAAGTACAAGATGTAAGCCGTGCTTGCTAGATCAGATGTAAGGTGTGAAATAAGGGTTCTTCGTCAAACCATCATGTAAGATATCCTACTACTCATAAAAAATCAACATGTAATATCTGGTAAAAGCATAGATCGGCCATGATGGAAAGAATCCGGTTAGATGATTGAAGATGTTGGGATGGGGTCATATTCAGAAGTAAAACAGATAAATCCCTACGAAAAAAACTAAAACTCCTAAGCTAACTAATAACTGCTTAAAATGGAAAAATGTGTTTAGTAAAATAGTAAATCTCATAAGAAAGTACATAATTTGCACAAGCCTATGATTACTTAAGACAGTTTCAGAGAGAATATGTAATCTGAGTTCCAAATGTATAACACAAGTATTTGATTGGTTGTTAGGTAAATACTTTTGTTGTCTATTTGTCCAATTCATATTTTCCATGTTAATCTCTACTCTATGATGCATATACTCATCATTTGATGAGTTCCTTTAATATGGTGCAGGCATTGCAAGAACAATATGGACCTGATGGCATCACTCAGCAAGGACTTGAGCTCTTCTTCACTACACTAAGCAAGCTATTTAAATCATTACAGACATCATACAAAGGTCAAATGCCTTTTATGCCCCAATGTCGCACCAAAGTTGCTCTACTTTAGTTTCTTTCTCTTTAGTGCATTGCTAGACCCTATAAAACTAAAGAATGGATGGGGAGGTTTTTGCAGATTTAATGATGGTAATCTTCTACCCAAGGAAATGAGCCTCCTCTTCTTCCAAGTAGCTTTGTTGCCAAATATTTCTACAATGGATCTCAAAACTTGGCCAATGTTGGATTCATGTAGATGACCCCATATAGTTGTGTTAAGGAATGGATGATGATGATTTCTACAATAGATCTCAAAACTTGGCCAATGTTGGGTTGGCTCCTTTAAGTGTCCTAACATATTAGTGGACATCATTTAGGCACAATTATTTTTGATAATGCTTTCATCCTCTGTATTACTACAACTGTTGGCACATAGTTATTTGATGCTTTTCTTTATATAGTGCCATTGATTCTTTTACAGGAAAATTAGTTGATGTCCCTTGAGCTTTTTTCCTCCATGCAACATTCTTCTCCATCTCCCAACAAGAATTTTTAGGGAGAAGGAGAAGAGTAAGGAGACAGTTTTTGAGATCATAGCCCTAAGAGTTGCACATTGGGTGACAACATTGAAGCTTTTCTCAGACTTTATAGTAAATCCTTGAGGTTTGATCGCCCCCAATTGGTGGTTGGATGAAATTAAACTTTGATGGCAATAGTTTGGGCAATCGTGGTCCCTCAGGAAGGGGGGGGGGGTTCATAAGAGATGAGGGTGGTAATATATGTTCTTTGTTTTCAGGTCCAATAGAGGCAAGGTGATTCAGTAAAGGCAGAAATTTTGGCAGCATTTTTTGGTGTATAGAAAGCTAAAGAAATGGGAATTGCAAGATTGGTTATTAAAGGGGACTCAAAGATAGTAATGAGGTGGCTGAAAAATGGTGAGGGGGTGGTTTGGCAATTTAAAAATGAGATTTGATGCTTCAAGTGGCAAGGAGTTCACAAACAACAAATGTATTGGGCACAATTGTAATAGGGTGGTGGGTGTGTATGCTTTGTATTGGGTTGTTTCAGACTTTCACAACTCCTTGTTGTAATCTTTTTATTTCAAGAAATTAATGAGTGAATTGCTTTTCTGTTTTGCTGATAAAAAAAATCCCATTTTGCAAATTAAAGGTGTTTGGGCCATGTCTCAGTAGTCTGACCACTCGTCCTCTTGGACAAGTTATTGATTGTTGCCTTGGTAGGCTATTGCTTCACTACCTTAGATTATTAACCCTCACAGGTAGTTTATTATGTGTTTTTCACCCTCCATCACTGGAAATACCATTTCCTATTTGACTTTCAAGTGTGAAGCATGCCACTCAAATTCATCTTTAGCCAGGATTGAACTCTATGAGGTTCATAGTTGCATTACTTATAGCTTCCTTGTTTGTAGACAAAGTGGAATTCCAAGGCATAAATTGTATCCATGTACTCAATATGTGCTTGGAATATGGTCCCATAAATACAGCCATCCCTACCCCCTCGAGACAATCCTATTAGCGTCTTATCCATTATTTGCCTAGTCAATTATGAATGTGGTGTTGCCTAAACCCTCTAGACACTAGAGATCAATCTTATCCTAGGAGAACCATTGGCTCTATAAGCTCCATATCAAATTAAGCAAACAATAAAATGTATTATTAGGGTGCAGATATTGGGGAAAAGTGTTCAATAGTCAACAAGCATGTTGAAGAAACAAGTATTGGCAGAGATGTGAATGTTGAGATAGGTGAGTGGAAAAACCAGAATGGGTAGGATTATAAGTTAGCTTTTCTGTGGGAATCTAAGAATAGCCTCAATTGGTGATAAAATGTGGGAAAATATGTTATAAGAAGGTTTGGGCCTGTGCATTGGAAGATCACTTACTATATTGCAAGATGAATGGTCTAGAATCTAGATAACCTAGGGCCTACGGTTAGGCCAAAAGGGACATGGGTGGGGTAGTGAAAAATGATTTGAGGAATATCATTAACAATGGATGTGGCCCTTGATAGTGGGATGGCAAAATAGGGTTCATGTGGCTGACTCCATATAAAACAATAAAAATGTAGTTGGCCCCATATAGTGGATAAGGCTTTATTGAGTAGAATAGTGATATGGGGGACTCGTTATGACTTGACTTCTCCCTTGTGGCAGAAGGGGGTCCATTTTTAATGCAATAATTCGGAAATCTCCATCCTGCAAAATTGTCTTTTCCCCATCTGGACATCATATATTAATAAATCCTTAGCCGATGATAATTTGTAGGGGTGTCAATTTTGGATTGCACCCATCCAACAAGACATATTGAATTAGACCAGTCCATACTTAATGGTCCAAAGTATTTATTGGATTGGATTGGACATGGTCCATCTGTAATGAATTTATATTGGATTGGGTTGGATTGAGTCAATATCTGGTCCATTCATAGAAGATAAGAATATAGGTGTCAATGGACCAGGTTTGGTTTAGAATTAATCTAAATTAAAATATTTATAAAACAATCTACATTAAAACAAATTTGAACAGATTGGACGTCCAAAATGTTCATTGGATTGGATTAATGGACTCATATTGGACTGGATTGGATTGGACCAAATCCAATCCAATTGACACCCTTAATAATTTGGTCCCAATGGAGGATTTATCACTCTGTGTATGAATTTATCTCAAAAGAGGGAAAATTAAAAAGACACATTATTTATATGCAATTTTTAATTGGCTGACAGATGACTTACCACCTATCAGTTCATTGCACTTTTGTGGCTTACTCTTCCAGTGGGAATGCGAAGGATTACCTGACAACCTTTCTTGCTCACTCTTTTGGCCTATAAAGCTACATCTTTGGAACTTACACCTCCTTTTCTATGCTGGATTCCTGCTGAGTGAGAGAAACTAAAGCATTCTTGAAGACAATATAGTTGCTCTTTTGATTTTTCAAAAAAAAAAAAAAAACCATTATGTTTATCCCCAGTGTGTAAAGACATTTTATAAGGATGAACCATGCAATGTTTCTGGATCAGAGGACAGAATCTTTTATAAACGTAAATTTGTTTTATAGATCTTTTAATAGTTCATCATATGAAATAAACCAATCAACACTGATGCCCCCTTTTACTTGGGTACATAGGGCCTTGTGAAGCTGGTTATACTCCATTGATGCATCATTCTTTTTCTCTCTCTTAAGGATTTATTATAATTGTTTTTAGCTATTAACATAAAACATTCTTGACTTTCTTGTTATGAATGGGTTTTTTCTTGCTAACTCAGCTTTCTTTTCCATCTTAAAAATCGGTGGTTTGTATCTCTTGGCCAGGTCAAATTGTTGGAGTCTTCTCCTTCGGTGGAAAATATGATCCAGAGTCCAGTTCACTGTTGAATGTGAACTTTACTTCTCAGTCTTCTTCTCGGTCGTTGAAGGAAGTGGCAGGCTCAACTAATTCTACCACCACTTCTGAGGTGCAGCTGGTTAGATGGAGTCTTGCTTGGATAACAGGAATCATTTTCCTCATATCTACCTTGCTTGGGGTGAGAATAAACATTAATCTGGTTGTCATGCTCAAATGACTTGTCAACTTGCATTCTTATTTTATTTACAACAGACTCCAAGATATTCATGAAATCTCTAAACAATAGTCCTGTGCATTTAGGATTGGGAAATTTTTGGCGAGTATGCCTAAAGATTGCTGTATGTGATCCATGGTAGTTGTATCTACTGATGAAATGGGAAAGAAAGGAAATAGAGAGAAGAAAAGAAAGCACCTGGTTCTTTTAAATGCAACTCTCATGCAGAAGCACATGTGCTCATATGAACTACAGATAAAGGTTTCCTTAATCATTATTTAATGACACCCATACCCCAAAAAAATGATACTAAATATTTATTCTTATTGACTGGCACAACAGAGGATTAAGAAATCCAGAAGACATTTGTTTTATTTGTTTCTTCTTTCTTATTTAGACCATTTCTTTTAGTTATTTTACCTCATAGAACCTGTTATGCATCTAGGCAACCTCTGGTTGGATTATGTGGGGGCAGAATCTCAAGGAATGAGGAGGATTTGTTCATGGGCTAGAAAATGGGGACCTAAATGGTCTTGTCAATCAAGTTGGTGATAGAGGAATTGGCAGTTGCCACGGTTAGCAGGAGTTAGGAATATCTAAGTTTTGACCTTCAGATGGTTCCACTTTAAGATTAGGGTTCATGCCATCTGGTTGGGTCTGGTTCATGGTAGTGGGCAATGTGCAGATTAAAGAGCTTTAATATAGGATGGGAAGAAGAAAGGGCCTTCTAGGGTTTATCTGATGGGTAAAGAAGGGGAATTAAGGATATAGTTTATGAAAGAAAGTGATTCATATATGAAATGGAGAAGAGAAATATTGCAATTTTAGAGATCAAGAAAAGGGAGCAAAGAGAGAAAAAAGATCACTCTTACCCACAGTTGACTCTAGAAAAACCTTTTTATTCCATTGGGTAAGAGCCGAGACGAAGCCCTATGCAATGGAGATGAAGAGCGTTCGCATGGAGGTAGAGAAGATTGGTAGAATGGAAGAGAGGTTATTGATGTTGAAGGCAAGTCTAGTGGGTAGGTTCGTTGGCACAGAGCTGGACGTTGAGAAGGTTGAAGCATGGGTGAGGTTGGAGTGGGGAGAAGAGAGGATCATGAGAGTCAGACGGCTAAATGGTGGCCTATTTCTCTTAATGATCTACAGGAGAGAGTGGGTGGAGAAGGTGTTAGAAGAGGAATCCCATAAACGGAGGGATTTGGACCTTTGGCTTGGGTGGTGGTTCCCGGCGGTCGGGGTGTTGGGAGAAGAAGGGAGGAGGAGAAGAGCTGCGTGGGTTGCAGTTTATGGGATCCCACTACAAGCCTGGAGCTACATTTGAAGAAATTGGAAAAGCTTGTGGTGGTTGTCTCAAATTTGACGATAGGAATAGGACTTGGAATAAGTTGGACTCTGCTAGATTGTTGGTAGAAGTGTGTGAACGTCTCAAACTTACCGAAAGAGATAGAGTGCTTTTTTTTATTAAAATTCAGATTGTAAGCAGTTTATACAACTTGATGATGGGACTGTTTATCTCCTTTAATCACTCTATTCACCCCTCATTACAGTGTAGCCCAAAATATGCTGTCTCAATGCCCCCTGTTTTGGTAATCCATCAGCTAGCTCATTTGCACTTCTTCAGACCCATTTAAATTCAGCCTCAACCTTCTTTGCAATCTTCTCCATTTCCCTAATCACATGTTTAAACGTCCATGGGTGTGGCTGCTATTTATTGCCCATGAAATTACTACTTTTGAGTCCCCTTCCACTTCAACATGTCTGCATGTTGCCAATCGGTCCTGAGAACATACCCAATATCCTCCTGTCAGAGTTTCTTAATACTCCTCCTATTCCTGAATCCTGAGATGCCTGGATTTCCATATGAGCACCCATCAAAATTCAGCTTTATTTTATTGACTTCAGGTGGTTTCCACTTCAGCCTTACTTTATCTCTTACTCTCGAAGATTGTGCTACTTCGGACCATGTTCTTAGAATATCTGCAACTGAAAAGACTTGAAAGCAGTCCAAGGGTTTTACCCAATGGGCTACTTTCACCTTGATACTATCAATCACTTCCTTTATTGTTATACTTTTTTCCAAGAAAATTCTGTTGTTCCTCTCTTCCCATGTTACCTAGCAAATTGCTGCCTTTGTTGCTTTGTACATTACCATCCCTCTTTTCTTTCTCTGTCTCAAGAAACCATGGTTGAAGAGTCTTGCCACATCTTGAGAAGGAACCCACCTGCATAGCGAAAGAGAGTACAAAAGAATTCCCATATTCGATGCACAAAAGAACAGAAGGGTCTCACCACAAGAGATAGAGTTGCTTTTTGCTGGGGAGAAATACAATCTGAGATTAGTTATAGAGGGAAATGAAGAGACTAAGAAGGATGTCGCCTTGGGTCTCAGGGGAGCAGTTTCTAGGAAAGGAAGATGAACGGTTGGTTGGAGGAAGACGATTGTGAGGTGGATGATGGGAAGGGCAGTAATGGAATCTTAGATGGAGAGAAGGGTTCAGATTTAAACAGGGAAGGACAGATGGCGGAGGGAGGAAGATAAGGAGGGGGAGCTTGGTTTGCACATGGTAGAAGGGGAAGTTAGAGGGACACGCGTGGCAGGAGGAATTAACTTCGAATCTCCTATAGGTGGGGCCCATAGGAGGGGGGAAGGGGGCATTATTGGTAAAAGGTAGTTTAAGAGGGGTTTCTTGAAAGGTATTTCAAAAGGTAAGGACCAAACGGATGTTTGGATTTGGATGGCTACTAAATATGGAGAAGGCAAAAAGACGGTGGAGTTTCAGCGAAGGAGAGGAAATAGGACCTTGAAAGAGCTTCAAGTGCCACCTGAGTTGCTTCATCGTCCGAAGAGGAGGGAGCTTGCCGTGAGGCTAACGGCCAGGGTCTGAAGTTGGGAGAGGAAGGAAGGTTAAGGACTGAGTTTTGTCGGGGGAAGTCAAAGCCTGACGTTTCCCAATAGGTGACCATAGTTTCCTTGGCTCCGACACATTTCTCAGCAGGGGAAGAAGATAGGACCTCGGACCCACTGATTTGTTTAACAAAGGACAGGGAAGAAGCTACTGATGGTGCTTTTGAGTTTAGTGACAAGTGGATCGACCAAGAGATAAGCAACCTTGTCTCGGATGTTGGTCGAAGGTTTGAACATAGGTTGAAGGAGGGACAAGGAAAGGAGCTTGTGGAAGAGGCAGAATCTCCTGGGGGTCAAAAAAAGGCTATTTGGGGAGTTAGGAGGGAATGAGAGAAAAGAAAAGGTATACCACAGAAAAGAGAGAGTTCTTGATTCTTCTCAGGGGGCGGAAGGAGTGGAAGTAAGGGAGGTAGGACGAGAAGGGTGTTTGGAGGGGAAGAGAGGGGAAATACAGGAAGAGGGGGAGGTCGGAGGGGGGATAGTCCAGGATTCAGATCTGGTCCGAAATGGTGTTGTTGAAATTGACAAGCTGGTAGAGAGGGAGGTCTTTGTCGGCAAATCCTTGGTGTTATCTTAACACCCTCGGGTTGTATGACTCTTTATTTTACGGAGAAGTACTGATACACCCGATGCAGAATTCTGAATTCCAGCCCCCCCCTACTACTAGCCCTCTCCCCCCTATTTCACGGTCAGGATGCATTCCCCCTGTACTTTGGGGCTATAAAATTCTGATCTGGGCTGATTGGTCATTCTCCCTTTATTTTATTGAAATCTTTTATTCTGATTCTTCAAAAAAAAATCCAATTTAAATGACTCTATTTCTATATTAAATATAAGGGTTTGTATCTCCCTTTAGTGACTCAATTCAACTAGAATTGACTCCTAATTGCATTAGAATTAAAACAATCCCATTTACCCTTATGGACACTTAAATAAGGATTCTCAACTCCTAAAACAACTCTGGATATCCTATACTGATCCTAATAAAAATAAATTACACAAAAACAATTCCAAGAGTGACCCAAAGAAATAGAAAGCCTTAAATCCTGTTAAAACTAGGACTCTACAAGTAAATTGTTATAACTCACTTGAAACATGTTGAATTGATCTTGGTCTTGTTGGATAGATAGCTAAATAGCCTAACTTGTGATACTAAAATCCTGTAAAATAGAAAAATTGACTCTTGATAATAGGATGAAAGAAAGCGACTTGATTTTATCTTTACTTTTCAAAATTCTAAAACTCACAAATGAAACTCTTTGAACTAATTTGATCCTTTAAGTTAACTAATGTTATTCCTATGATACTAACAAAGTAAAAGTAAAAAAGGGAAGCCACAAGAGCAACTATCCTCTGGCCTATTTGGGAAGAAAGAAATAACAGAATTTTTCAAGGGACTAAAAGATCCATGGAACAAGTGATTGACATCATAACTATCAAGATTATACACTCGCTGAAAACACTTGAGCTAAGTTACTATTAGGCTGGATGCAAACAAACAGCCTGGGGGCCTGGAATTATAGACAGCCAATGAGGGAAATTTTCTGCTTAGCAAGGGAAGTGGGGGCAATCTTCAAGTGGTCCAGGAGGTCAGCCAAGGGTCTAGCTGATACTCTGGCAAAGCAGGGAGCCTTGGGGAAATTCTCTTTGGGCTGTGTCGTAGACAATGAGATAAACCAAGGGGTCAACACTTTTTGTGGGTGGTTGACAGTTGTACCACTTAATATAATGTTTGAATGAAAGTTACGTTTCCAATAAAAAATACAAACAAAGTAGAAAATAAAATTGACATAAAAAACTCAAACATACCAAAATCCAAATCACTCAGGAATTACAAAATTGCCACTGGTTTAAGAATATTAAAAATCTTGATTTCATCTTCCATGAATTCTTTCCTTTCTTCCACCCCACACAAAGTTGATTCATGGGTTTTATGTTCTCACTCAAAGATGGAGAGAGCTGGTTGAGAAAGTTGAAGTCTTAGGGTCATCATAGATGTTGGATGAAGTGATAGATGTGAGACCAAGGACAGAGCCACTTTATTAGTGGTTATTAACCACACTGAAGGTAGATAAGAAGGTTGGCTTGGTCTTCCTTGGTTTGGACAGAATGGGGCTAAGGATTTCATTTTTTTTTATTTGATTTGATTTTATTACATCGGCAAAAAGCATTAGAAGGGCAAAGAGCATTTGTTTCATGAGGAAGGGGCAACTAAGTCAAATATAGAGGTCAGAGAAGAGGAGGTAGGAATTGAAATTCATTTTTGGAGCAGGTGGGAAAGGTAAAGGTGGGGGGTAAAGTACCAGAGGTAGGAATTGATTTTATAATCTTTTTTTTTTTACCTTTAAAAAAAAAAAAAGTACCAGAGGCAGGAGAGGAAAATTTAGAGCTGTTTAGGATGCTCTATTGCCAGGGAGTGGGTGATCCTCCCATTTGGGAAGTTTTTGATTCAGTTTTGTCCAACTTCTTCTAGTCGGTGTCAGTTTTTATTGGATGGCTGGTTGGGGTTGTGCAGGTTTGTGTCTCAATGAGAGCATATGGGTGGAGTGCAAGTGACTGAGTTATGACAGAAGAATGAAATGTGGGTTTTAATTTTATTGAATGATTTCGTGAAACTTACCTACTGATTTGGAGAAACTGCAGTTCAAATCCTGGCATAGATGTGAAATTTTTTCATTCATTCTTTTCTGGGATGGTGGTGAGGGTTACATAAGGAAAGGTTTACGCATGTGGGTGGGGGAGCCGTCTAGCATTGTTTTTTCTCATGGGCTGGTCTGTGTGGCTCAAGGCCATAGTTTTCAAGGCGCCAAGGCAAGGCTAGGTGACAAGGGGCCGCCTTGTCGCCTAGTCGCCTAGGTGATGGATTTTTTTAAGTGAAAAATACATATCCTAGGTAGTTTTCTAGGTTCCATAACCATCTTTCCTTAATAACTATCCATAGTTTTTATAAGAAAATTATAAACTTCATGTTTGTCTAGAAAATCAACATATTTATGATTAGACAAAACTTTAAGTTTTTCCCTTTACTAATTGGTTCAAATTCTGAAGTCTTTGAGGGTTCAATACAGCAGTTAGCGATGCTTGTGTTGATTAAACCCTAAAAAATAAGAAAATAATAAAAAGAAATTAGTTTATAAACACAAAAAATGAATATGTTTGTTTACTGATGTCTATTTTATAATTATAATCTCAAAAAAGTAACAATATAAAAGTATTTTATAAGACAGTATACAAAACTGCTAGGCGACTGGGCGAGGCGAGCCTCCAAGGGCGCCTTGTCGCCTAGGCGTCGCCTTGACAACTATGCTCAAGACTGCCAGAAGGTCAGCCACCTGGTTTCCCTCCCTTAAAATGTGATTCAAGTTGACCATTGAAACCTCTACTTGTGTCTGTTGTAAAGTCAGATCTGGATTGTGCTAGCCTCACTTATGACTTGACACTGTTTGCATTTGCACTTCCTAGGTGGTGTTTTTTCCCCCATTTTTTCTGAGGCTGACAATTCTGATCTAAAGGGGTATATTTGGAGGTGGATAACTCTGACTTGGTGTACTGTGTCAGAACATTGGCTTCAGTCTATTTTGGAAGCTCTGTGAGACTGTGTGCATTATGAAGAGATTTGGTTGGTTGTATGCTTTATTTATTTCTGCTATAGTATTATGGGCCAATTTGGAGAATAGGCCTGTCATCTCTGTTGTGATTTACGAAGTCAGAGATGTGGATTGTGCCTAGCCTTATGCTGTTCGCCTTTGCAATTCCTTGGTGGGTTTTTGATGTTGAAAATTCTGATCTCAAGGGGTATAGAGTGGAGGTAGATAACTCTAACGTGATTTATGGTGTCCTTTGGTTTTTCTCATTTGGTGGAATGTTGGCTTCAATTTTATTGGAAACTGTGCATAATGAAGAGTTGTGGTTGCTGGTATATTTCATTTATTTATTTATCTGGTATGAGATTTCGTCTGTGTTGGAGAATGAGCCTAGTGAGCCTTTYAGATATTCCCTCTTCATGGACTCTGATGCTCCCTCTTATTGTAAAGCTTACAATATCTTTATGTTATGACCAAGAGGGAGGAGGGTATTCGATATCATGTCTTGCATCCCTGCGACTTGTCACTAATTGTTCTTGTTATCTTTTTTTTTTTTTGATCAATAACATTTATTGTTCTTGTTTTCATTATTAGATAGATCATATTCTGGATCAAAAGGTCTGACATTTTCATTGTTTGTTGGATGATTTTATTTATATGCAGGTACACTTTCTTCTCAATATGCCTCTCACGAGGGATACTCTCCTATATTCTAATGTCAAGCTTGACTAGTTCAAAGCGACATCAATCGGCTTGTCTAATTGTGACAAGAACATCGGCTCTAGAGTTTGGATTTGTAGATACTTGTAGCCTTCAACCTATGTGCTTTCCGGTATTATCTTCTAAGTGAGCATGATATTTCTGTTTTGTTTGTTATTTGTAAGATCGTCCCTTGGTTCTGTGCTGTTGAACGGGCTGTGCTGACTGGTTCGATAATTCTTTAGCCTTTAGGAACTCGTAGGTGGACCAAGGAACAGGGGATTAATATATATAGAAACAATTCCAAGTAATATTATGGGTATTTTATTCATTTCATGATAAATTAAGTGCAGGAGTGGCCATTGGAAAAACTACATAAAAAATGTAATAGTTATATTGGTATATTTGGTCATTTCATTTGGATAAAATCAGAATAAAAAGAGAAATTTTGATTGTGAGGTTTCTTCTTGCTTGTCATTTATCATATTTATGTTGAAAAATCAGATCTACTTGAGTGTCAAATCTTTTTATTCTTTTCCTCCAATTTTCCTTAATTGACCTTTGTTTTTTTGGTATTCCTTATTGCAAGGGCTGCGTTTGTTTCTCCGTAAAAATTTTCAGTCTGAAATATTTTAGGTTCAACCATTGTCTTGATGTAAATGTTAAGGGAAACAAAGTTTTCATTGTAAAAAGGGGTGGAATTGTAACTCAACTCTTCAGCTTGAAACAAATGGAGCTGAAGAGTGAAAACTTAACTCAAATAATTCTCAAGAGTCAAGAGTTCTACATGGTTAAAGAAAGGGCGGACGGAACCACATTTTCTGTCGTTCTATTCATCAGAAGAAGAGTCAAAAGTGATATTTTCGTGCCCAAAATGATCAAACGCAAAGGATAGACCACACCAGTTGCCCCTCAAATCTTTACGATGGTGCTTCTGAAGTCACCACCATATTCACAACAAGGATCACCTACCAACAAAACAAGTTTTATAGTGAGATGTACAGTGTCAGATATCAGTAGGGTGTTAGAACGAATTTTGTTGACATGTGATGGGAAGATGTGCCCAATGCATGACTAAAGTATTGTCAGGAGACTCAGGACGGTGTGAGGATAAAATCTGGATTCAGTGCAAACTGTCAAACCAGGTTTTTTTTGGCATTTTGGTATTTGGTGCCATGCACCATTGATAACTTCCCCTTGCCCCCTTTTTCTCCAAAGTACTGATTGCGGGATTTGATCCTAGGTCAACGCTGGAATAAACTAATTAATACACCAACGAGCCAGTTCACCAATTATCTGTTGAAACTTTTGTGAACCTCCTCTCAAATAGGTCATCCAAGCTGATGAGAAGAGCGACAGACCATGAGACCAAACTCCACTACAGCTTTGATAAATGCATGAGTGGTCTCTCCAAGCTATTCCTCGCGGTTCTTAGGGCATTCTGCTTAACAGATATTGTTCTTTAGATGATATCAGAAAGGAGTGAAATATGCAAACGAAGGAAAGGATACCTGCATACAAACAATTTTACGTTTAGGGGTGAGGAGAAGACTCATGGTCAGAGCTCCCAAGGCTTGGTTCAGTTGGTTGTATGGTATTCTTATGCCTATTAGAGCGAGTTCGGATCTGGTCCCAACAAGCCACTACAGCTGCACATCGAAAACACCTCCCTTGTTCCTTCATGGTGAGATGTTCCCAATGTATGGCTGCTGTGGTGGCTTGCTGGGGCAATTTATTGGAACCAGATCTAGGCTCACTTAGAGCAGTTTACCTTTTGGTTTCATTCCTGTTAAGTGCTCCTTTGGGAGGTCAATGGAGCGCAATCAGAGCTGAAGTCCTCCCAAATGACCCTTAAATCTGGAGGGAGTCGGAATAACATATTGTTCACTATAAATTCATGTCTCACTCACTAGTTGAAATCTCAAGGGGAAAGGGAAATGTTAAAGTAGAGTTCATTGTATTGCCAATCCGAGTCCTCATAAGCATTTCCTCTCAGATTTCTTGCATAGTTGTTGGTTTTCATGTCATGGGGACATTTGGTGAAGCATGGGGACATTTGGTGAAGCATACAAGAGAGCGGGTCGCGTCTTCTCAATTCCACCAGTTACTACTTGGTAAGTTGGTAGAACTTTCTTTACTGCTTCATCCCGTAGAACTTAGGACCATTTCAGTTGCAGTGCAAAAATTTGCACTGATGCAAAAGTATGATAGTGCAAATGATTTGGGTACTGATGTAGGTGCATTCGGCTGGGCCAATGGCGAGCCTACACGTGTCAGGCGGCGAAGTGCAGAGTGGAACCAATCGAGTCGCTGGTAGAGTCGAAGTCAGCACCTCGTGCTGGACCAATCAGGGTGCATGCTAGGCTGGGCTTGGCAGGCCTCGTGGAGCCAATCGCGTGCCCTCACCTGGCGCTCCTAGATGATCGTGCCCTCGGTAAAGACTGCATCCAGGTCGTCCGAGGTCACCTGCCCCCTAGCGTCATCAAGTATAAATAGGAGGCAACCCCCTCCAAGTAAAGGATCGAACACTCTAGCTCTCTAGCTCATTCTCGAGATTTCTTGCTGTGACCTCGTCTGGGTGTTCACACCTTAGACCTTGTCCATCTCATACCTTCTTGCTGACTTGACTGTCGGAGCCCTTGCCTCGGGTCTTCACCCGGGGCCTTTGACGTTACCCTTCCTTGCAGAGCTAAACTCGGGATCCTTATCTACCTTGGATACTAGATGTCGCAGACCTCGGGCCTCAAATCTCAGATCTCCCCCATTTCGGACTCTAGCACCTCGGATCCCCGGGCTTAGGAGTGAATTGACAGTGTTGACCTCGGCCAATCCAAGCATAAAAAATTGGCGTCGTCTGTGGGAACATCGCTTAGACTTCCTTCAATCTAACTTGCAATCAAGAACATCCCTAAGCTCCAATCAACATGGTATGAAACACTAGGAATGCCCAGAACCTGGTTACCAACGATCAATTCCAAGCGATCCTAGACCAATTGGACCACCTCACCTGGCGTGTCGAGGTGTGTCCCCAGGTAGGAGGCTGCCCTCAGGGTGAACGTCCCGCCCAGGCATCGAGCCAACGGGGGCAGCGCAAGTCTGCGGACCCGCTAGCCCTTGGCTTTGCTGACTCCCACCGAGCTGAGCCCTCCAAATTTGGTAGCAACCAACGTGCAAGCCAACCCACTCGGCACACAAGACCTCTCAGCCGAGAGGAGAACGAATTAGTATGGTCTTGCAACCGACACCAAAGCCAAGGACATTGCCGCCGACAAGAAACGCAACCTCCACCTCGCACCTCGGACCTTCGAGACTACCTCGATGACAGACAGGCCAAAAGGAACCGAGACACAGTCGATCCATCCCACCACTGAGGAGAACGGGACAAAGCTGAGGTACCTATCGACTAGTAGATCGCCAACATACAGGCACAAATTGACGTGGTGAAGGACAAACTTCGGAAAGTCAAGGAGAGCCGAGGTGACACCTCGGTAAGACAATATCCCTCCACTAGGATGGATGCCTTCACCGTCACCATCACCTCGGAGCCTCTTCCACAACATTTTAAATCTCCCATATTGGAGACTTACGAAGGCAACTTGGACCCAGACCAACACCTGGAGATCTTCCGGGCACTCATGCTTTTATACGGGTACTCCAACGCATTGATGTGCCGAGCTTTCTAGGCGACCCTCAAGGGGGCAGCTTGGCGTTGGTTCTCCGAGCTCCCACCTTGCTCCATTAGCTCCTGGGACCAGTTCTCCAACATCTTCCTTGCCCACTTCATCAATAGTCAACGATGCTAGAAGAGYGTTGTCTTACTCATGGCCATTCGACAGTGACACGACGAGAGCCTGTGGTCCTATATAGATTGCTTCAAGAAAGCAGAACTCGAGGTCTGCGACCTTGACCCCATGGTCTCCATGCACGCAGCAACTCAAGGCCTCCTCCCCGGGTTGGCCCTCAAGTGCTTTGTCGCTAGGACACCGCCCGGAACCAAGGTAGAATTTTTGAAGAAGGCACAAAAGTACATCGCCGCCAAGGAAGCCTCGAGGTGGAGAGGCCAACTTCTACCATGGTGACCATCGAGATGAAAATAGTTGCGGTGACGACACCAACAGGAAGTCGAGCACACATCCTCATGCAAGTAGGAGGGGAGGAGTATGTGAAGTGGCCTGCGAAGAGAAAGAGGAACCCTAAAAAAGGTGACCCAATAGAATATTGCACGTTTCACCGCAATGCCGACAATGACACCAAGGATTGCTATGACCTCCAGGACGAGATCGAGTTGCTCATTTTCCACGAGTATCTAAAGCAGTACATTGGCACCGACCTCATCACCTCGCTCCAGTAGCAACGGTTGCAATTAGTCATCACCAACGTTTCAGCCTCGGTTGTACCCGCAGGCCGAACTATGTAACCACAAGAGCTCGGCTTCAACCGACCATGTACATATTTTGTAATAAAGCAAGTTTCTTTTACCTCGCCTCAAACCTTCAGCATATACAACCTTGGTCAAGGTTACACGCTCGGACTGGACCTCGGTCCAAGGCACACGACCCTGGGAGGTCATATGCCTAGTCGCCAGGTCCCTCACCTTGCTCGATTGCCTAGCTGC